TCCCTCCTCTAAGAGGGATTTTTTCAACCTTGGCCCATTGGAAAGAGTGTGGATTCAACCCCCAAGATTCCCCCAGCCAGAAGGGATTTCTGGGGGGGGAAGTCCACACATCTTCAAGTGGCCAAGGCTGAGAAACACTGCTCTAAAGGCTGGAAGTGTATTAAATTACAGGTAGTCCTCGCTTAATGACCACAATAGGGACCAGAAAATTGGTCATTAAGCAGGGGGGTCAGTAAGCAAGTCATGTGACTGGACCCAATTATACAACCATTGTTAAGCGAATCACATGGTCATTAAGTGAATTCCAACAGTGGGGAATAAAGCAAGGAGAATTGTGAAATAATTAAAAATTAAAAATAAATTAGAGATTTACTCTTGCAGAATCACAATTTCCTTTTTTACAGTCAGAGGTCTAGGAATATCTAAGCCGTGGCTTCTTGGTATATCTGAAAGGTGGTGGAAAGGGAGTGTTTTGAAGCATAACGCCTTTGCAACAGAAAACATTTCCTAGAAGAACAGTTTTGGAGAACTGGAATTTGGCTGCAATTCCCATATTAAAGTGCATAACTGAAATTCATCTTGCTGGGTGACATAATATCCTGAGTAGTGCTGAGATCTGGATTCAGAAATCATGGGCACATAGCTAGCACCTCCTGAGAACACTTAAAAACAGTTGGGTCTTTTCCTGAGTCCGTGCCCCCATCCTCCACTCCAGTGCAGTCAAGCGAATCCAGGAAAAGACATGTTATTCCAAACCAAGGTGTTCCTGATAGGTTCTGTAAGCACACCCATCTGCGCTGTGGGTCATATTTTGCCCTTCAAGGCAGGACCCTTGCCCACCCTTATTCCCCATCGCTCTGAAAACAGACATGAAGCCCCAGAGCTTGGATCTCGCAATGCAAGATACTAGCGTACCTGAATGAACTGCTTCAACTGGGCTCCGTTATGCTGATGTCCATCAAGGTTTAACATGTTATCAGGAAACTCCATCACCATCTGCATGAAAACAAAATGTGCAGTTGAGTTCTGGGGCCAGGTGGAAGCAGCCCTGGAGGCCACGTGAACCGTTTGTACTATTTTGCAGCAGTCCTTTTGCCTGTGCGATGTCCATCCTGACATAAAACACACACATGAGTGTAATATTTTGGCAGGGGGCCAATGCTGCAGAACGGATGTTGCCCTTTTAGGAGCTCCCTGTCTGCAGTTCACATGGTTGCTCTGCCACTTCCTTGGATGCAGCCCATTCCAATGTCACACATTTGAGGACCTCTGCCCCGCTCAAGTCCCTGGATCCACACGTCGGTAAAGGCAGAGACAGTGATTACAGATTTGTTTCCAAGAAGCCAAGTTAGCAACCAACTCAGCTCTGGTTGTCAAATATGCTCTGTGGTCCTGCCACAATCCAGAGATGCACTTGCTAAAATCAACTGTCTTAAGTACAGAATCTCTTAGGAAAATAAAGCAAGTTTCCTTTAAGTTCAACTCAACAGCTGGTGCTTTTGCTCACAAGTCCACGTTGCTTTCTTGGCAATAATACAAAAAAGTGGCTTGGCGTTGCCTTCTCCTTTTTCAGCATCCCACTCTAACCTACAGGGCTGGGATTTCCTGATCACCTCCCATACAAGTGTGAATTAGGTCCAAGCCTGCAGCCAAGGTTGGCTAGAAGCTGCTATCTAACCAAGCCTTAGGAAGATACCTTTTGTCACATCAGTCCTTTGCTGCATCTAATGCAGTCATGCCCACCTCAGCCTTCTGTCACCCGTGCTTGGAAACCATGGGTGTCAGAGTCCAATATAACTGGGAGGGACAGGATTGGGGAAGATTGGAGCAGACCTCATTTGCCTTGAGTTGGTGGATGGAGACCAGTCTCCAGGCCGCAACCTGACATGTTTGGGGATAGTTAGTAGGAACCCTAAGTATCCATGTGAGCTAAAGAACAATGACTACCAGGAGCTCTGTAGACTTTGGGGTCGCCTTTTCAAGTCTACCTGGGCAACCTGCAGATTAAAGCTCCAGCTATCTTTGTCCAAAGCCAGCGGGTTTACTGCTGACTTTTAGCTCTTTCCTGTCCCTAGATACCTTAAAAGTTCACTATTAAAACTGTTCAAGGGTCACTCTAGTTCAGTGTTTCTCACCCCTGACAGCTTGAAAATGTGTGGACTTCAACTCCCAGAATTCCCCAGCCAGCATGCCTGTTCCATCAGTTTTACTTTTCTCTTCCGTGCCCAATTCCCTTGCAGGTGTCGAAGCCCAAAGCACACACAATTTTGAAACACCAGTACTTTTAAACCAGGTCCGTACCATCTGCGTCTAAAAGTGGGGGGAAGAAAGGAGGCTACATACAGTGCCAAAGAGAAAAGTGGGCAGGATATCTAAAACCATCCTCCTATATGACATTTTTCACAGTAATCACCCCCTTTTTTGCAAGTGGTTTGCTCTCAGCCACACTCATGCCTGGGATCAGAGCTCAGGAGAGAAAGAAAACCCCCTAAGAACACAGAAAAGAAGAGCAGGCAGGGTGCAATTAATGACCCGAAGAATCTGCAAAAAGAGCTACTAAATCTACAGCATTAAAAAATCGCCCAGGTTTAACCTGGCTTTCAACTACTGCAAATCCTTTCAAATTCCGCACCCTACCTGGAGTCCCCAAAGCTTCCCCTCCAAAATGGATGAATGCCAGTTGGGCCATTTTTCTGGGATGTGTGGGTGGGAAAGCAATTTTAGCAATGGGGAAAGGAGGCCTCCATAAGGGGAAATAAAACATTTCAACCAGTCAATCCCCTTAAGCCCCCCAATTAAGGAAAAAATGGGCTGAAATGCTTTGCCAACCCATCCCTACTGCTGATGTCACCATCATCCTAAGAAGGCCCTTGCTAAGCTTCACTCCAGCCCCCAACCTAGAGGTTATTTTAATGTCTCCCCATTCCACCCCCCACCCTATCCCTGCCGACACCCAGCAAAAGCTCTTCCCGATGTGCCAACAACTGCTGCTACGTTTAGACATCATTTATCTGTCCAGCATCTACAACCCTCAAAAGGGTTTGTGCAATTTTCTGGCCATCTGCAGCATCACCCTGCAAGAGCCAGTGATCCAACTGCTTAATTACTGCAACAAAACTACAGAGCAGCAGCATGTTTAACAGCTTAATGACTCAGAAAGGGGAAAGTCAATTCTCCTGAAGTGCCAATTGAGGTGGAGCACGTTAATTAAAACAGGCAACTCCAAGGTATAACATTTACGGTCCCCGGAGTTGGAGACCACGCAGAGGAAAAGCCAACCTACAGAAAATTTTACTAAGTATCTCCACCTCACATTCTGACATTTCCACTTCGATTCCTGGCTAGATGACACAGCTTGTTATGTATCTAAAGGTGACTGGCTGAGTATCTTAGTTAAAGATAAAAGTGGTAAGATGCCAGCCATGTTAGTGCAGAAAGCCAAACCAAATTATAGCTGCTTTGGTTTAGCACCCTGCATGAATAGAACCACCATGGTTTATAAATTGTTAATTTCTGATTTAGCATGGTGAATGAACCAAGAAGATTGGTGTCTATTCAGCAAGCCATGCTTGAATAAACCATGGCTAGCTGAAAGCCTGGGCTGAAGAATGAACTAGTAAGGAAAGGGTCACATAGAAGGCTTGTAATGGTTCCAAGCTGGAATTGTGTGCCAGTCATTCTCTTGCGCAATTTATAAACCTGACTCTCTTACCCTTCCACCAACTTTCAGAGAGAGAATCCAACTCTAGTTCCAATTTACATGGTTCCAATCGCAGTTGAAGCACAAATGACCAGGCTCAAATTATCCTACTTCAGATACATGATATGAAGACCTCGCTCTCTGGAGAAGACACTAACGCTGGGAAAGGTGGAAGGAAAAAGAAGAACAGGACGACCAGCAGCCAGGTGGAGGGATTCATTTACATTGGTGATGTGTACACCACTGGAAGACCTGAAGAACCTGGTTAGGGACAGATCATCCTGGAAAAGGTCTATCTAGGTGGTTACTAAGAATCAACACCAGCTTGATTGCACATCATCCATCCATCCATCCTAGTAGACAACCAGAGTTTTTGGGCCACAGAGGCTGTATTTGGGTGTGACATCCAGGTTGGCACATTGTACTGAATGTTCACTAGGGTGAATCTGACCTTGCTTGCACCTCAATTCTGAAAGGACTCAGTTGCAAAAGGAGCAACAGGTGGCTGAGCCTATGACCTATGGGATGGCACACAACCTTGAGCTCACCTTTCTCAAGACCTTCTTAAAGGCACCAGGACAGAATGTACTTTGGCAGCCTTCTTCAAAATACTCTTGCCCCTTTAAGGACCGGTGTTGTGCTCCTTCTATTGTAACAGAACTGTAAGTTCGACAGCCTATTGCTTTGCAGGGCAATATAAACAGAAATGCTGCACTGCACAGATAAATTAAAAATTTAACCCCGCCCAAAAGGTTTATGGAGTAATGGGTTGGTCCATTCAGGGGAGGAAAACATCTTAATTTGAACAGAACTAAGTCAACCCTCAGCTTGGGCATTTGAAACTCAGAAATGAGCCAAAGGGATTCAAATAGCCCTCCACACAGCAATGGAGAAGGTTTTCCATCAAACAAGGAGGCTGCCTTTAAGAGGTATGACAAAAAAAGGCAGGAGCAAAACTTAGGTAGATTTAATTTAAGCTTAATTTCAACTCAGTGTTATTTTAAACTTAATTCCAATCACATTAATTAAATGCAGTCCATACAAGCACTCCACTGGCGTTGAAGAATTCCCCCCTTCTGTGACATTAAATATTGCAATTCAGTAGGAACTTAGGAGACAGTCTCTGGAAGTTCCAACTAAGGCTTGGTTGGGGAAGAGGTGACCATTCCTGTGGACCTGGAGCTACAGACTGTACATCTCATGAGGATATAAGCACCACCCTGGCTGTATCAAGCCAAGGTCCATTCCAGTCCAGCATTTGTTTCTCTCACTAACCAACAGGATCCCTCTGGGTGACTCAGGAACAAGAGATGAAGACCCACCTCTCTCCCACCACTGCTCTCCTGCATTTGGCACTTGATGCCCCCAACCCAAAGGTAAAACTGAGTCATCAACACTGATAGCTCTTCATTTATCTCTCAGCCCCTTTTAAAACCATTCAAATTCATGACCATCATACAGATAAATAGATCTTCTCTAGACATGCTTTTGTATGCAATTTTTGGAGTTAAGAAACATTTCAAGGTAATAAGAACAGCCCTGTTGCATCAGGGCAAGAGCCTTCTTAGTCCAAGTTGCCAACCAAATGTCTCACTGGGGGTAGGGGTGAGGCTCACAGGTAGGAGATGGAGGGGGACCTCTCCCCCACTGCATGAAAAGTAGTTTCTTTAGCCTGTTTCAAGCCTCTTCCCAGTCAGCTTCACTAGGTGAACCCTGGTTCTACAGTTTTGTGAAAGCAATGACAGCTTTTGCAGTGAGAGACATCTTGAGGTTGCTGCATCAGCAACTTCCCAAATGTAGTGAGGCTTTAAGGATCCAGACCTCTGGAAAGAGTTGTAGTACTAATACATCTCAGAGGTATTCACTGGGGAAAACTTCAATTAGAAAATCCCAAGAATTTAATGTAAGACTTTAACAATGCTGGGGAACATTACATGGGAGAAGGATTATACCAAATGAAAATGCAAGGGAAAAACTGGTGATGGTCATACACACATACCAATAACTTTGCTGAATCACGCCCATCCTAGTCCAGCACTTGATTTCTACCAGGAGTCAACCAGACGTGTCTCTCCTGTAACTGGTACTTGGGACTCCAATCCAGAAGTAACACTGAGACTTCATATCTTCATGACCTTAACGGACCTGCCCTCCATGGATCCTCTTTTAAAGCTATCCATGTTAGTTGTCATCATCACACTTGGAGCAATGAATTCCACAGGTTAATTATGCAATTTGCAAAGAATGACTTGCTTTTGTATGGTTTAAATCTCTTTCCAACTAGCTGTGTGGGTTAAGCCTGGTCCTACTGTACTGAGAGAGGGAATAAACTACTCCTTGTCCGCTTCCTGCAGACCATGCTTGATTTCTGCACACCTAGCTTCTGCCCCCCTCTCAGGAATCTTTTCTCTAAGCTAAAAGGTCACAACGTTCTACCCATCTCATAAGGAAAGTGTTCAAGCACCCCTTCGTTTTAGCAGCTTAACTTTCTTTAGCTGTCGTATCCTTTCTCAAATGCGCAACTAGAGCTGAACGCTGTGCTCCAGATGCAGAAATACCATAGATATGTATAAAGGCATTTCAATTCTGGTAGCTTTTTCATCCTTTTGCTCATGATCTTTAGGATGGCTTTTACTTTTTGAGAGCCTCCATCCACTTTGTAGACATCTTCGTTGTGGTGTCCAAGTGACACCAAGATCTTTTTTTCCAGTTAGTTAGACACAGCGTGGAACCCATCAATGAGTACATAAAGTTAGTGGGTATTGCTCTAATGTGCATCCGTTTTATGCTTGCTTAAATTGAACAACACTTCCTATTTGGTGGATAACTCACCTGGTTTAAAACTTTTCTCAATTATTTGAGGATTTTACTATCCTGATGCTTAGGATAGCATCTAGACCAGCTATTGCTTACTCCTAAAGCAAAATCATTTATGAACCAGTTAAGAGCATCAGTCCCAGTACAGATCCTTGGGGGACTTTGCTTATAAAATTGCCCATTTATTCCTATCTTAGTTTTCTGTTTTTTATCCACTTAGAAATCCACAAAATGACAGGTCCTCTTCTGCCCAGACTGCTAATTTTTGATGAGGAACTCCAGCTTAGAGAACACCTACAGAAGCAAAAGTTCATTGAACCATCCCATTTCACTGGGATCCCATTTTCACAAATGGAGAATTAAGTGGAAATCTTCTCCAGCAGGGATACTAATTTACTTCTTTGGAAGCAAGTGTATCCAACCCTTAGGCTTTTTTTTTTCTAGCTGGAGCTCAAGTCAACTTCACCATCACATATGAAAACATACACTATGCTCAAAATTTGGGAGCCAGTAAGTTCACCAATTAATTCCAACTGGTCTTAGTGACATACGGGTAGTCCTCAATTTATGACAATTCGTTTAATGACCATTTGAAGTTCCAACGGCGCTGAAAAAAGTGACTTATGACCAGTCCTTGCACTTGCGATCGTCGCAGCGTCCCCATGATTACGTGATCAAAATTCAGGCACTTGGCAACCAGCGTGTATTTACAACGCATCCTGGGGTAAGCAGAGTGGAACCATGACACAGAGAGAGGGCAAGATGTGGACCCTGGATGGCCATCTGTTTGGGTGCTTTAATTTGGGTTTCACTATGCAGGGGGCTAGCCTAGATAGCTTCAGTGGCACCTTCCTACATGAGGATTCTATGAAAACCCACAACAATTCTGGGCAGCAGTTAGCACCCAAGATTATCTTCTGCCCGCCTGGAAGAGGAGTGAGCAGACATTTCTTTGGAAACTCTGCCTTGGCTAAGAACATGGCTATGCGGGGAGAATGTGTAGCTCTTTTTTGCACAACTTTCAAACCTTCAAGACAGGCAGGTCAGGAAACAGACACTGGAAAGACTACTGGGACTCTACTGCACTGTTGTAGGGTATTATGACAGAATCTTGAAAACCCACCAGTTTCCCTCTGTCCTCTCTTATACCATGCAGAACTCTATTGTTGTAAGTTATAACAGAACCTTGAAAGCCTGCCAAAGTCTCCCTCTGACCCCTCTTACATCATGTGGAATCAAGTCAGTTATCCTTCTCAATCCTCTTTTCCCAGGACTGAGATGTTCTTTACTTTCTCTTATTGAACAAAAGATTCTTGCATTCCTTTATCCATGTTATGTCAGCATTCCTCTACTACAACATACTCTAACAACTCTGAGGATCTGTCTTGGGGGAAAAAGATTGTCATCTCCTTAGCAAGCATGGATATATTTGGCGAGAGTTCTTTTAAATGAGGACCACTTTACATATGCATAAGAAGAAATTAATTAAAAGTAATGCTCTACTGAATGAAGACCAAGGTCATACCAAGGTGGTTGAGATACTGACCAAGACAGCAACTCATCACCAAACCAGAGATGCCCTCGGTTCAATGAGTCTTCTTGTATGTGACCACATAATAAATATTTTATCTACAGCTAGCACCAGAGAGGCTGAGCATATAATATAAGCATACTTAGTGTTTTATTTTTCTACACCTCTCTTTCTTGGTCAGTCCTGGCCCCCAATCTCCCAACATGTCTTTAGCTACAAACATTAAGATGATAAACCATCACTACCTTAAAAACTAGTCCTGCACAGCACACCCCACTGAACCAGAAACTGAGAAAAAAATGAGTGGAAGCAAAATAAACCGAGTTTGATATACTCACTTTCTGAATCAAGGGGAATACTTGAACCAGCTTAATTAAAGGTAGACAATACAGATCTAGCCCAGCCATAGAAATGGAGAGACGTACTTTACAAAATTGCAACAAGCCAACGGAGAAAAATGGCCTGTTTGATAAAGTTAGCTTTTGTTACCTGCATGAAATCTCCTGGAGAATATACTGTACGTAGTGCACACAACTTGGGAAAATTATCCCTTCACAAAGCTAGCAAGAATAACGTAGGTCAGTGTTCCTCAAACTTGGCAATTTTAAGACATGTGGACTTCAACTGCCAGAATTCCCCATGCTGGCTGGGGAATTCTGGGAGTTGAAGTCCACATGTTTTAAAATTGCCAAGTTTGAGGAACACTGATGTAGGTGTTCCTTTGGCAGCATCCAGGCCAGGCCTCTTTATCCCAGGGGCATCTACAGGGAAGGGGTCCAAAAAGTCAAGATGGTGGCCACCACCATGCAATCTTAAGACCCTTTTCTATGTGCATTGTGATGCACATAAAAACAACACAACTTCACTTGCATGGTTGTGGTCACTATGTTGACATTTTGGACCCCCTCCCTTTCTCCTGTTATTTCTCCCTCTCCATTCAGCAGGGTGCCTTGATTTTTGAGCAATGTCTGCCCTGCTGTTTTCACCTGGCTCATTGTAGATTTCCCCAGAACATCTAACTGCTAAGAAGCACGCTGGTCAAGTGCCCGCTCCCAAGTGACCCTTGCCCCCAATTCCAAATCCCTGAAGCTGATTTCCCAAAGCTGGAGTTGTTCTTTGTGATAAGAGCAAAGGTCTTGGAGGAAGGCTACCTCCTACTTCTTTAGTACAAAGCAAAGACCTTTGATCTAATCCAACATTCTTTGGCCTTTTATCACAAGCGAGGGCGCCGTCTCCCTGCAAGCCTCTTCTGGTCCTCTGAACGACTCTCCAGGACTAGGAAAACTACGCAGAAGCTGCATTCAAATCATACAGTACATCTGATTAAGCCTGATTAATAAAAATAACTGCTCTGTTCAGACAGGCTGGGTTTGCAGAAAAATGCTGAGTCGTAAAAAAAATAGCCATGGTTAACATTGACCTAGATTACCAGGTTGTGTCAATACAGTCTCCAGGCTGATCTGGTTAAGGGTATTATATACCCTATGGTTTTATGTAATGACATGGTTCACACAACATACTAAGTCAGTAACTGCTGAATGAAAAATAATTCGGTCCCACTTGAGCGGAGACTAATGTATGTCACTAGGAAGCGGGAAGGATGCCTCCTCAGTCAAAGATACATCACAAATGGACACTGAATTATGGCTACTCTCGCGTAATGTATCTACACCCAAAGCCACACATCAGGAAACACCCCACGCAGAGACCCACACAACAGGACAGCAACAACATACCCAAATCTCACTGGCACTCAAAGAACGTGAAAAAATTGGCCAGTCAGAAAAGAAAAAGAGACAGTGCTACACAATAGTTATAGCAGAGAGGGGCAACTTACAGCTTACTTACTTCTACCTGACGGGGATCAACCCTTGGAGCCTTCTTAGACTGAACTGCCCCAACAACAAAACATTCCAGTGCCTCTAAAAAATAATGGAAGTGGAAACTCCAAGCAAACTGTACATCAAAACAAAAATGAAAAAGGATAACCAATGACGTGCCTCTTGTGGCATATTGAGGCCATTTTTTTTAAACTGCAGTCCCCAGCAGAAAGGATTAGGCAAGGACTGAGCAGACTTGGGTCCGAATCTCTATATCGCCACCCATCGTATTTTTCAGCCCAGCTGATGTCACAGAGTTATTGTGAAGGTAACCTGCAGAGGAAATAATTCTATGTACCACCTTGAGGTCCTGGAGAATAATTATAATTAAAACAGGTTGGCGTGGATGGACGAATAAGACCAACCAGGAATGTAACTGCCTTCTCCGGTCCTGAGTAGAGTTATGTAGCTGGCCCTTTCAGAGATTCATAAAATCTTAAAGAGTTGGAAAACTTCCCCTGAGGTCATGTAGCCCTACCCCCGTACAGTGCAGGAAACCAAATTAAAGCATCCCTCACAGGTGGCTGTCCATCCTCTGCTTGAACACCTCCAGTAAAGGAGAAGCCACCACCTTGCTAAGTCATTGGTTCTACCTTCAAACGGCATTCTTCCACCTTTTCAGAGCTAATTCCAGTTCTGCTATGAGATAATGATCAGAAGTTATATTTAAATGTAACCTAGCTACAGATCCAGCAGTGACCTTTATGGAGCAAAAGCGCCTTTTTTAATGCCTTGTGCTCCACCTTTCTGAAGTACAGGACTTTCAGTATCAGTCCCCTTGAAGCGCAGAACTGCTTAGCTCAGCTCAGCTGAGAAGTGGCAGACAGGGAGCTTCCTTGCACAATCAGATGCTCGTTAGCAACTATAAAATGCTTCAGAGATACTGCTGGGGTAAGACAGGGCCTGCTTTTTCAAGGCAGCCGGGGCTGGTGTGCAATCTTGCACAATGATGCAGGCACCATCAGAACCCCTACTTTTTCATTAAACAGCCAAAATCTCACTCAATCTTGGCAAATCTTGCCCATGAGATCTCCTCCTTGACATTGAAATGCTGGAAGGTCTGAGCCATTCTGATCTGGTTCTTACATTGGGAAAGTGTCGCTGGTGCAATAGCATCCATGAATATTGTGTTTCTACTCCCCATGCATGAAAAGAAAGGTGTGGCTTCCTTGCTAATAGGGACAAGCCAGGAACACTCATGGGGATTTTCAAGGCATCTGAACTGCCTTCACCAAAAGTTTTCATAAGTTTGGCCCCCAGCTCCAAGTTTCCTTTGGGTAGACCTGAAGAGGCCTCAAAGGATTCATCCATGGCCTTGTTGTTGATTACATTTCCCCTCGATGATGGTGATCGAGACTATTTTGACAAAAGGCAGATTAGTGTGGTGTACTGGTGAAGATGCTGGACTAGGCACAGGGAAACCCAGGTTCTAGCCTCAGATTCTAGTCACTCAGACATGGAAGCTTCCTGGGGGACTCTGGGTCAGCCCCTCTCTCTCAGCCCATGAACCAGTGTGGTCTGATGGTGAAGATGCTGCACTAGAAGTGGAGAGACCCAGACTCTAGTCCTCCCCCAGCCACAGAAGCACCATGGGTGACTTTGGGCCAGTCCTTCCCTCTCAACCCCAGAGCCAGACTAGGGCAGCGTAATGGTATGTGGAAAGACCTTGGGAGATGGAACAAAGAGATGCTGCCTAGGGAACAGCCAGATAAGAGACAGCATAGCCTGCAACTGGATAACGGGCGGAGCAAGAGGCTCAGAAGGGACCCTCCCTCGTTTCTCGGGCTGTAAAGGAGATGGCGGGAGCTTTGTACTTTCCGACTTGCAGGTTCTGTTAATGTAGCTTTACAATAAAGTAGGATTAGCTCATCTGGTTGTGTTTCCTGTCTGGTCTATCTAGTAAGGCTGACGGGTTGTGACAAGATGCTGGACTAAGAATGGGGAGGCCCAGGTTCACGTCTCCCCTCAGCCACAGAAGTCCCCTAGGTGTCTCTGGGCCAGCTGCTCTTTCTCAATCCAGCCTACCTCACCAGGTTGCTGACATGGGGAAAAACTGGAGGCGTGAATGCTACGTATGCCACCCTGTAAGAGAAGAGCTGGGACAGAAGTCAAACAAAAACTGAGCAGACCAGTAAGACCCTGTTATTGTGGTTCATGGTTTTCCTAACGTGCCGCTGGTGCAGTCTAAGACTTTTTCCTTTAACGTGTACCAGTTAAAGCACTGTCTTTTGCGAAACACCACCCGAGGCTAATGCCGGCAATTGTCACCCTCATCGCAAAACTGCACTCTCAACAGACACACCCTACGCCTTAGAAAGCACCACTACGGTTATTAAAATAAAAGCTCTGCAAGCGCTTTCAGCTGCACAATAAGGAAAGTTCATTAAGTGATTCAGACGAGACCAAAGCCATTTTCGAGTGGTCTGTGTTTAAAAAAAAAAAATTGAGAACTACTCTTTTCTAGGTTTAGGCAGCCAACTCATTTAATTCCTATTAATAAGTTTGGGAAATTATAATCCAAAGTATACTGGGTCTCCACCTTAGGCAACACTGAAGGACCACGGTTCAGCATGTAGCCAAATTGTACTTGGAGATATTAGGTATTGAACCTGGAACCTTCTCCAGGCAAATCACCCATCGGGGGAGATGGGCAGCCTACAAATTTAATAAATAAATAAATATAAATTAATAAATCAGGAGCTGTATGGTTGAGCTATAATATTCCCCTCTGGGCCACCTGGCTTAGATACTGAACTCCCCCCTTCCTTATTATCATCATCATCAAACCCACACCTGGAAACAGTTGCTCACCTGGGGCGAACAAGCAGTACCTCCAGGCAACCAGAACAGCTGGCAACCTTTTCCAGGCAGCGGGGACTGGCCTGCGATCTTGCCCAATGACAAAGGCACGAAAAGAATCTCTGCCTTTTGAATGAAACAGCCAATACCTTATGCAAAATAACTTTTGGTAATGTCAAAGAATAGAGGTCCTGCCCCCCTCACCAATCTTGCTCGGTGCACGTCATCAGCTAGTCCCCAGCGGTGCGCCAGATCGTTTGGTTTAGCGTGCCGATGTTCCATTCGCCAAAATAAAACAGGGATTACTTCAAGAGTGAAGCGCAGCTGTGCCATCTTCAAACTGAAGCGCGGGAAAGCAGCGCTGCTTGGACTGGGTTCCTGAAGTAAAGTGCACCCTCAAGGGTGCTTACTCAGAAGTAAGCCCTGCTGGGCTTCATGGATTCTCTCCCTGCCTCAGCACTGCAACCTTCCATATCACATTCCTGACACATAACTAGAACATGAATAATAGACAAGCAAGCCCTTCGGACAAAATACACACTGAACTGGAGGCCCCCCACAATCCAGGCCAGTGATCCAAAAAGGCCTCTCATGGGAAGCTGGAGGCAAAGGAAGAACCCTTTTCCCCAAAGTCAAACCTCCATGGCTGGTTTTCCCCAAGCTGGCACTCTCCAAACCAACAGGTCACTATTCCATTACCCTGTGTAGCAGATGGAAGCTGTACCCCGAGAAAAACACCAAGGCGTATACACAACAGGAGAGTTGGGGCTTTCTTGTTCTACCCATTAAAGCACTGATTTATCTCAACTGCTAGGCCCTCCTTCCACCAGCCTATCCAATGGTCTTATCCCCAAGCAGGGGTTGGATAAGCTATCCAAAAATACAAAGCAAGCAGCTTAGGATGGAGTTGAAAGCTGTGGATCAGGGCCTGGGTAAAAGGAGTAAAAGAGAGTAAAAGGAAATACAGTCCTCTGTTTAAGATTAAGCTGTCCTCCTTAAGGGGGGGGGGAAGGAAAGAAGGTTAAAAGATTGGAAGAGTATTAAATGAGTGGAGAAAGTTAAAAAAACCCACAAGTCAAATTCTGAAATATGGGTAGTCCCTGGGTTAAGAACACCTAGTTTAAGGACGACCCATAGTTAAGAACAGAGTCTGTTGTAGCAAAATTTGAGTTAAATACACAAGGGTTCAAGTTCATTACACAATGGAACTTATACAGTTTTATACAATAATATTGTTCTGGCTCTCACACCAATTCGACTTAAGGACAGACCTTGGGAATGGAACTCAGTCTTAAACTGGGGACTACCCGTATTAATTTTGGGGATGTCACCTTCAAAGTCAAAAAGAAATTTCTCTATGATGTCAGAGTCTGGCATTTGGTTCCACTGGGAATTTGGATCTTCCGTGCCCCAACCTATATCCTGTGAAATTAAACAGACTTGCTGGGCTACTGTGCAAGTGAATAATATAGGCAAGATATATCATGCAACACTTCCAAAAGCCATGCCTTCTATACGTGTAAAATAAAAAAAAATTAAAACGCACACCATAAAAGCAAAGGGTGCAAAACTGGACAGGTGTAAAGTGACTAAAGTTTACCAGGACCGATTTGGGACAAGGACCGCTGACTACAACAGGGAATTAAATTGAAAACATACAAGTCAGCAATCTCCCCCCCCCCATGGTCCCATGCGTGCGTCTTTTTCCCCCCTGCAAAGCCGCACGAGGCCCCCGACTTGCAATAGACACCCAGGTTCCAAAATGGCTTCGACTCTTTTCGGCTTAGGCCTCCCGGGTGAGTGCGTCTGTTTGTCCATGTGTGTGCGTTCATGTGTCTCAGAGACGTGGATAAGGGGAAAAGGCACATTACGGGCCGTTCAAGGCAACAGACCGTACCAATTACTGCACGGGGAGGACTCCGAGGCGGGGCCGGAGGCCTTTCCAGACTCTGCTCAGAGCCCTGGAAGGAGGGGGGGCGGCTTGCCTAGAGATTGCAAAACACCCGTTTTGGTATGTTGCAACTGCTCCGTGCACAAGCGCAGAGTTGAGCTGCCCAGGACTCACTTACCGTAAGGGTGTCATCGATGTAGAGGGGGATCTGCAGCCTCTCGAACAGAAACTCTTCCTCGCTGTCTCTGCAAACTGCTACCAGCCGCGCCATCTCTGTTGCCGTTGCTCTGTTTCTTCCTCCCAGCCTCTAGCCTGAAAACAGCCAAACCCAGGGCAAGTAAATACAAGCTTGGGTTCCTCTGACACACTTTCACCAGCAGAGGGGAAAGCACTCGGATTACCCAGGCAAAAGATTCGACACAAGGAGGAGGCAGAGAAGGGAGGAGGGGGGACACCTGATCTTTCTATTTTAGATGCTCCTCAATGTTCACGGAGAAGGCGTTTTTTTTTTTTTTAAAGTGGAGCCAGAATAGGAACTGGTTTGACGACTTCCTACCCAGGTTTTAGAAAGCCCGTGATTCTGCCTCCACGATTTAGAAGCAGAGAACCATCACCTGCGCCAGGAGTTGTGGCATGTCTGAAAGCTAATGCATGCTTCTTCACTTGGAAAGCTTTTCCAAGGAGGAAGGGGTTTAAAAAAGCTCCTGTTTGGGTGTTGGCTCTGTTTGCACAACCCAAATTAATCCAAAATTAAGTTTGGATTAATGAACGATCAACCAACCCTCCTGCCTGGGTTGAAAAGCAAACTGAGCACAAGCTAGTTCACGACGCTTGGTTCAGTTGTGCTGTTTGAATCCAGCCACCGAGAACTAGATTTTAGGAAAAGAGAAAAGTAGCAGCAGCATTTTTATACAGTTTTTATACAACGTTTTTCCACACGTGCAGTGCTCCCTGAATCACAGCGGCAACCAAAACACAACTAAGAAAAACATTGAGCAGTTAAAAACTCAAGTGAGTTTGATGCTGTTGTGCTGGTGTTCAGCACAGCAGGACAGGGGATTTTCCACTGAATGACAAGATGGTTGGGTTCACGCAACACACACACAATCAGGCCCATTAAAGACGCTGCATATACAACAGCCTAAGCTTTTCAGTGTTCAGTGTGATTGAGGGGAGGGGGCTGGCTTAGTATAGTGTACGAACTCAGCTGGTGCAGTGTGCAAATCCAGAAAATGGTTCAGTTCAGTAACCAAGTGAAATATATGGCTGCCACCATTGAGAGCAACCTTCAAGCACACACGTATAAGCAGCAACGTCCTTCCAAGGGGGAGCACCTAAATTTCAAGGCTGTTTTAAAATCTCAGCACAAGAATTCATAGCAAAAGTCTCAACTCCAGGCCCTACCACAAAGGATAATGAAGAACTGAAGACTTGAATCACCATTCATGACATTCTAAAGAACATGTATGCTCTTATCTTCTTTAAGTACTCACAAAAAAATTATAATTCTCCTTACCAGAATCATCAAGTTTTAAGTTCACTGATTCTCTCTCCCTTTTCCTATTTCTACCCATCTGAAAGAAATAAATCTATCTCACCACATAAGTAATGCAGTCTCACACACACACAAAAAAGTTTTTCAACCAGGGTAATACATTTTATTCAAAGACATAAGCTTTTGTGAACTGCCACTCACTTCATCACTCTGAGCATCTGATAAAGCGAGCTGCAGCTCACAAAAGTTTATGCCTTTGAATAAAATGGTTTAGCCAGGAAAGGTGCTACCAGACACCTCCTGATTTTTTGGTCACTAACCCAGCTCCTACAATGCATTTTCACAACTGTCCCATAAACCCTTATCTACACTCAGGGCCTACCACCTATCGATAATGTATAGGCAAACCTTTCGCACACCTAGAGCTACATTATGAGAGCCAGTTTGGTCTAGTGGTTCAGGCACCAAGCTAGAAACTGGGAGTCTGTGAGTTCTAGTCCAGCCTTAGGCGCAAAGCCAGCTGGGTGATCTTGGGCCAGTCCCTCTCTCTTAGCCCTAGGAAGGAGGCAATGGCAAACCACTTCTGAAAACTTGCCAAGAAAACTGCAGGGACTGGTCCAGGCAGTCACCAGGAGTCAACATGACTCAAAGGCACACACACAAAAAGAGCTACATTATATAATATGTAAGCATCACAATTTGTGCCATGGTTGATTTCACCTGACTGAAGAGCACACATCAGTTGGGTTCACACAACAGGCTAAGCCAAAACCACCCCACCCCACAACCCCAATTTACTGCTTAGCACGTCTGCTAACTCCAACTCATGGCAAACTAGGTGACAGAGGGGAGGGCCACTTTTTCTAGGAAAAATAGCTCTTGTAGTGTGTGGAGATATAAGTGGACACCAAATAAAGACACTAAGCTCCCTGCTAGAGTGGAAGACTCTGAATTACAGCAGGGCACAAAAGCCAAGCCTAAAACAGCTTTAAAGCCACCCATGGGAAACGTGTTCTGTTTTCTAGAACTGAGCAGCCAGGAATTGCAGGATCCACACTGGCTGATGCAGGCAGGCCAGCTGGCAGCATATTTTAGCAACTAAAATCAAGGGCTTTGCCAGCAATTATCTGTAAGCTTCACCTGTACACCTACACACTCAGCCAATACGCCTAAGGGGGCAAAAAATAAGCATGTTTCAAAGCAGAGAAAAAGCCCTTGTAATTAGCAGCCTACTTACACTTTCAAAAGAGGGAGGAGGCTTTCCTTAATTAGGGGCTAATCCACTCTCCCCACTTCCCCTTTTGACTTTTCCACCTTCTCTGTCTCTTTGCATCCCCTTGGATGCAGTTTTGCAGAGGAGGCTCCCCCAGGCGACCCTGAAATAAGGGGGGAAGGGAAAAATTGCTTTTTTTCCCTCCTCCAGGGAGGGGGAGCATTCTTTTTGCTTTTCCAGCAAGGCAGCAGGTGAGAAGGAGAAAACCCCCAGGACATAAATGCATGTGGAAGAAAAAAAATAAATCAAGCGATAGGTAGGTCAAAGCGTAACCTTCCCTCCAGCCCCCCCATGCTCTGTCAGGCTCCACCTATATTTAAATTTACCTTCCTTCCCCCCAGCCCGCCTCTCCTATTGGCTGAAGCGACTGAGCTGCAGAAGGAGAGACTGCCACACCTCGAAGCGCCGAAACGGGAGATTTTTTGGCCTCTCTCTCTTCCCTTCCCCTCCCTCCCCTTTCAGGAGGGCAGCATGAAGCCTCCTCGTCCGGCTTTGACTCCGCCCCTCCTCCTCCCCCTCTCCTCTCCTCTCGCGAGAGACGGAGAAGGTAGCCCTCCCGCCTTCCCCACCCACCACCCCTGACCAACCGCTCGCCGGGCTCCGCCTCCTGGCCTCCCAAACCCCGCCCTCTTTCGACCCCGGCGACTAACTGCTCTTTCAGGGCGTGCCTCGGCTCAGGCTGTCACCTCTGCCCAAGCTCCGCCCTCCTCTTTATGTAAATGACCCTTGCGCGGCTCGCCCCTCCCTCTGCTTCCCTTCGCTCTTTCCGCCACGGGCTGAAATCGAAGGAAGGAAGGAGGCAGAGCGTTTCCTTTATATAGATAGGCCGGAAAGAGGGTCCGGCTTGCGGCTTTCTGCGCATGCGTGAGAAGGAACGCTGACGTAAACTAGAACTCACAAACCCATTCCCCGCCTTTCTTTCTTTGGGGACTGTCACAAATAGCCCTTGCCGCCGCCGCGGCGAATGGAGCGCTGAGATTCTGCGCATGCTCAGTAAGTCGTTTCTTCCGCCTCGAGAAATAGTTCGCGCGGGAGAGAAGAAGCGCGCCTCCTCTGGCGCCGATCTTGCGCTCGCCCTGAGGCGGGAGTTAATTCCTATTGATCTGAACGGGCTTACTTCGGAGTAAAGAGGGGCAAGACTGCGCTCTTGGCCGCCTTCCTGAAGAAAAGCCCGTTTAAATAGGGGTTGGTCATTACACTTCGTTGGCCCCTTATACCTAAAAAGTAAATTACTTATGAGGTGACCTTGCCCCCCAAAAACTTATCAAAATTTAAAAGAAGGTGCAGCGTATGCCCACTTTCCCAAAATATTTTTTTCTTCCTAGCGTTTTCCCACGGGTGCAGGGTCTGTTTGTTTGTTTGTTTTTTGCTCAACCAAATGTTAATCCATTGGTTATCGATATTTGCAAGAAGGTGCAATGTGTACCTGCTTCCCCCTAAAATATACCTTATCAATATTTAAAAGAGGGTGTAGTGTATGCCCACTTTCCCCCCTCAGGCGTGTGTTCATATGATACAGGTTCCTCCCTTAAACATAATAGGGACTGGAAAATTCATTGTTAAGCAGGGCAGTTGTTAAGTGAGTTGTGCTTTATTTTATGACCTTTTTTGCAGTGGTCATTAAGTGAATTACCATGGACATTAAGCAAATCACACAGTAGTTAACTGAATCACGCGGTTCCCCATTGATATTGCTTGCTGGAAGCCGGCTGGTAAGGTCACAAATGGCGATTACGTGACCCCGGGGTGCTACACCTGGTTGCCGAGTGCCCAGATCATGATCATGTGACCACGGGGTTGCTGCGATGGTTGTAAGTATCAGGACCAGTTGTAAGTCCCTTTGTTCAGCATTGCTGTAACTTCAAACAGTCACTAAACAATTGATTGTTAAGTGAGGACTACCTGTATGCTACCCTGTGTTTATGCCACCTCATTTGTTGGGTTCCCACAACATGCCGAACCACAACTTAACCGTAAAGGCTGAGTCACCACAATCTAGGAAAATGGTGTTCAGTGTGTCAAGAAAATATGGCCATTTTGTCCATTTTCTCCTCACAACAACTTTGTAAAGTAATAGGTTCACAATATTTGCACATTAAACTGGGAATTGTGGAAAATATCCTCCAAGGCCATGATCTGAGGTGATTTTTAAAGGAGACTAGGTACCTTCATAAGGGAGCGGGACTGTCAATGGCTGGATGGCGTCATCATCATCATCATCATCATCCTGCCTTTTTTATATATAACTGAAAGTGGCAAACATACCTATATTCCTGCCTCCTATTTTCCCAACAACAAACCTGTGAGGTGGGTTGGGCTGAGAGAGTGACTGGCCCAAAGTCACCCCTGAAACATAGGCATCTTGCCTTAAATACCAGTTACTGCCAGGAAACAACTGGAAGAAAGTAATTTCTCTTGTCAGTATTTGTGAACTCAGCTGTGCTTGTGGAGACTGGATTAAATTAATTTTACACTCTGTTCTCTTCCATTAGGTAAAGATGGTCTTCAAGTCAAGCTGATGACTGCATCCATGTAGCTTTCTTGGCAATATTGAGGAACTGCCTTCTTCCAGAATGTTTTTTTTTTAATTTTCTAGTCTAGCTTACAGCCCTGGGATTTCCTGATGGCCTCCCATCCAAATATTAATCCAACCTGACTCTGCTTAGTTTCCAGACCCAGACAAAGGCAGCCAGGTGCTAGCTCCTATTGGGAAATTTACTTCCTGGTTGTACAGGTAGTCCTCACTTAACGACCATTCATTTAGTGACTGTTCAAAGTTACAACAGTGCTGAAAAAAGTGACTTAACCATTCCTTGCACTTACGACGGTCACAGCATCCTGCGGTCATGTGATCACCATTTGAGACCTTCCTGGGGGGCTTCCAACAAGCAAAGTTAATGGGGGAAGTCAGATTTGCTTAATGATCACATTATTTGCTTAACCACAGTGATTCACTTAATGACCATGGCAAAAAAAGGTCATAAAATCAGGTGTGACTCACTTAATGACTGCATCACTTAGCAACAGAAGTTTGACCCAACTGTGGTCATAAGTCGAGGACTACCTGTATTGTCTACAAGATTGCTCCTGAAGAAAATAACACAATGGCAACCCAACTCTATTCCATGTACCAAGCACAACTGAAGTGAAAACTGAGTCTTTTTTCCACATTGGTGATGGGACAGCTTCCTCCACCATACCTGAAGGTAGCAGGCTAGCTGAGAGATATAAGGAAAGCTATCCCACTATCTCTTCTTGCCATTTGCCAGTATCTGTTGTCTGAAGCAACTGCCTCCCTCTGCGTAAGAGTTGGACCGAACCACTTTATATCCCCCCTCTTTTCCTCAAAGGCATTCAAGTTGGTGGCCATTGGAAGACCAACTGATTTCAAGCAAGCATATGGAACCTGCAAATATTAAAGAGCAACATAACAGATTTATCAACCTTGTGCATTTATATCACGTATTTCTTATTTTGACTATTTGAGCTGAATTTTGAAGATATTGATGGGAAAATGTGCATACACATATACAAACTGAAAAGAGAATTTACTCCTTATATGCATGATGCATAAGATATAAACTGTTGTGTTAATAAACTACTGTCAACTTTTTGGGATGAATAGCAATACAGAAAACTTCTAAAAATGATCGAATGTGAATCCTTTGGTAGTGTATTAAAAACAAAAAAATAGTGTAATTTTATTTTTCATGGAGGAAGATTTCTCTAGATCAGAAATCCAGGATACCAACTGTGTATTCTGTATAGCTTTTTGTAGGAGACCATTCTGATCCTCTGTCCATGCAAAAAAAGAATAGTTGCTATGACTCTGATCTATCCCTGATGAAGAGTAAAACCACTTTCTTGGGCTCCCATCTCCTTACACATTGGGAAAGCCTAGTGAAGAGTGAGTCCTGCTGTGTGTATTGGATTGATAGCATTGGGGCACTCCTGTTAAGGCACCTCTAACGTGGTGGAGATGCATAATGCCAAATCTGGGAATTTTTCTGTCAACTCAAGAAACAGCATAGTCATATAGCAGCAACATATCCATTCCATGCAGGTGCCAAGCACAAGATAAACCCTCCACACTAGAACTCAGTGACTCAAGAGTCTGAAGTCAAAGATAGGACGTCTCTTCTGCAATCCAAGCTCATACTAGCAGTGAATTGGGTACCAACACTCAGGTAAAACTGATGAGATTAACCATTTTCCTCAATTTGGAAGGAGAGGAGATCTCATGATCTCCATCCATATTAATGCCAGATTGGTCCATATTATTATGGACCAATCTGGCATTAAGCAACTCCAGTGATAGGGCTGAGAGCAAGCTAACAAATCCTGACTACTAGCCAATATCATAGCTTCTACCCTACTCTTTTTTGCTGTTCCATTTGTCACTCCAGGAGTTATGGGGTAACTCCCTTGCCAGGCTCTTTCATCTAACATTTTAAAAGGTTTTGTAATAAATAAGTGGGAAGTGGCACATTACAACGTGAAGCTTAATTTTATTTCGAAAAGAAAAATGGCCAGTGGCTGCAGCCCAGTATTACTTGAAAATTCTTTCACCTGTCTTACAAGTGTGTGTTTGTTTGTGTGGGGGGGGGGCGGGGGGGAATACAGGCAATAAATGGTGAAAGCAGTCTTGCAATGCTGCAATGAAAGCTCCTTTGTATGTGCATTGTAACACTGCATGCATGTAGAACAGAATAGAATAGGAATAGAACAGAACAGAACAGAATAATGCACTTGGTGTATAGCGTATAGTGGAATGACAATAAAGTTATTCTATTCTGTTCTGTTCTATGTATGAAAAGAACTGACCTTATGATGTGACCTTGTTTTTGTCATTTTGACAAAAGCCTCCAATCCTTCAGGGCCCCTTCTTTCTAGTTAAAATTAGACACCGAAGGGTAGGAAACTGCACATATTTTTCAGACATGGAATCTGAGGATAGTGTGTCAGAGACTGGTGCACATACGCGGCTTCTCCGAATGAGTTCTGTGTATCAGCAGATATCAGTATCTACAAAAAGGAAGCTTGCTTTATTCAGAAATGCGTTTTATAGCAGAGGCATAAAAAAAAAAAATCTTAGCTAGCTCAGACTGCAGTCTAGGAACATAGTTCCATCATGCACAGATGTACACCGAGATACTTCAAGAGATCCAATCCCCTAAAGAAATCTTAGGAGCTACCACATTATACAAAATTGCAAGACTGAATCTGTTCAAAACTATGGTTTTGAACAATGAACTAAAAACTATGGTTTTCCTGGATATCTCCTTCAGCCAGAAATGATTATGGACCTAATTGTGGACAATATCAGTAAAGTCAATTGTTAAGTCTCGTCCATTCGGTGTCAAATGGCTCACTTTATTGCATGGCTTGGAAAGTGGCATGTTATTGCAGAATGACTTTTGTTGGCCATGGTTCCACTGCAAAACTACTCATAGTTGAGGTGGTGACCTCAGAAACAAAAGCTCTATTTTCTGTATATCAGAACATTGGTTGATCTTTCTTTCCCTAATCAATGGTAAAGCTAATGTAAGTGATGGTTGATCCATTTCCAGAATCCCAAGTAGAACGGCAGTCTCCAATTTTTATACTTTTATTGCAATCCACCTTCCATTTTCTCTTTTGAGGGTCCAGGGCTTGCTACTCATCAAGAAGCAATGCAGCTCTATGGTCTTCCAATAACTAATCAAAAATATTACGTCATATTTAGAAAAACGTATGGTTTTTTTTGTAACAACTGACACAATGTCATTTGTAAAAAGTTGATTTTACAACATTAGCTTTGTTTTGCTTTTTCTGCACCTAAGGTTACAATGCAAATGTTTGTCTATATTGCTACAGATAGATTTGATTCTTGGCACTGCATGTTTTATTTTGAAAACATGAATTATATTGCTGCATGGATTTTTATTTAAATATATTTTAAATTAAATCTGTAAGAGCAGCTCTGACCTGCATATATTTATATATGCCATAGTATTAGCAAATGCTAACTGCTTATCAGCATAATATACTGTGACAGGGCTTATCCTCTGCAGTAACACATAAAATGGCATTTTGGTTTTGGCTCAAAAGCTAATTATAGCTTATTTAATAAATATTAAGAAAGCCAGGACTTCATGTAAGGTACAAAACCAGCCTAAATTTATGTATTATTATCAGGCCTGGGGGTCTTTGAGAACTGGAGACATTCTTAGATGACTCCACTGTAATTGATATTCTGCTTTTTTATGGGGTTTGTATAATTTAAAACCTAATTTTTAAAAAAATTGCGATAATGTTTTAATAATAGCTCTTTATCTTTTTATATACCTGTTTTTATTCACTTGTTATTTTATTAATTGTTGTGTGCTGCCCACAGTTGCTTTGTGTGAGATGGGCGGATAAATAAATAAATAAATAAATAAATAAATAAATAAATAACAGTTGGGGTGAGTAGAAGCAGTAAAGCAGGTGTAGGCAACTTTCAAGCCACATGTGATTCCCCCAGCACTCATATTGGGGGGCCCAGATTGCACCACTGAAATATTTTTTT